ATGTGATCTACCGTCCTTTGCCTATTTTATCCGTACAAGATGTACACAATAATGTACGTAGATTTAAAAAAGACTTCCCGCATAAAAATTATTTACCAGTAGCTGATTCCCTTTCATACAAAAGTTATATTTTGTAATAATAAGTAACTTATGGTTTAAAGAACTTTAAAAAAAATTGTTAGTTCATACATATTTTAAATTTTAAAAAATCATAGTGAATTTGGAAAAACGTTTCCAACCACATTAGTCAATAAATTATACAGTAGCTACACTAAAATTGATTAAAAACTAGTAAACATACTGGGGAGGGGGGATAAAAAGAGTATAAAAACTAGCCTGAAATAAAATTATGTACACTATATAAGTATACCTATAAGTATATATTTTATTCTAGGCACACGTTTATGTAATATTCGTTTGAATTAGTTAGTTCAATAAAAGACGTCCTGGATAATGGAGACGTGTACCACTGTTATAGGTAATTGTATCGTAAGCGATGATGATAAGTCATTGCTTACGAAAAAACGATTCTGAGCGAAGTTCAGTGGATAGTGATGCTTCGTCAACAATATATACGTCCCATATTAGGAAAATAATAAAATAGCCTTTCTATATTTTCTTTATTAATATTTGTTTAATTTTCTACCGATTTGCTCAGTTTTCTTACGTTTTTCCCGTTTTTCCCATGGTTATCCCGGTTTTTTACATTTGCCTGGAAAACTCTTGCGAAAATCAAAACATTAACCTCCTAAAAGTACCTTCCCAGTTAAATCTATTTTTAGAAACATAGCTATATTTTTAAGCTGGAGCAAAATTGCTGGTAGAAAAGTTTATAGGAAAAAAGAAGGTCGTAATACATTTTAACTATTACCTACATTTCTTATATTTTCCCGTTTTTTTTTTTTTTTGGTTTTTCAAATTTGATTACAAAACTCCTGAGAAAATCAAAAAATGATCTCTTTAAAGTACCGCCTTAGTAAAACTTCCACTTAAAAACATTGTTTACATTAAAAGTTGAAAGAAAGTTTCTGGTAGAAAAGTTGTTAATAGATTAAAAAAAAAAAAAAATATAAATAAAAATCTTTGTAAAAGCATAAGCTTCTTTGCTGTACTTAGAATTTAAAAATTAAATCAAATCCGTATACTCTAACAATATAGTAATGCAATTTGATTTTGAGTGGTTTCATTTTTGTTTCATACATTATATTGCTCAAAATCGCATATATGTAACTATAATTAGATGGTCCCTCTCAGAAAAATATAATAATAGGTATCTTATTGAAAGCAAATATTATTAGATTGGTTTTTGTGTATTTTGTTTCGAGACACTTTTAGCATTTTTATTGCTTGTCTAAGTCTTAATTAAATTATCAGCATCTTAAGTCAGTATTAAGTTAGTATTATTTGGAGCATTAAAGAGCTTAATTTTTTATTATCCATTGGGTTTTTGAAATAATTGGGAAAACCAAAAAGAAAACTACTATAAAATCATGAATATTACGGCGGCCTTTCAAATTATGTGTAACCTAACTTTGCTCCGAATCGTTTTTCATTAGGAATGATTTATCGTTGTTTCAGATATAAATTAAATACATTTATGTATCCTACCTTTCCAACTTCTCTCCTATATTTTGTTGCAATCGTTGTGTAATTAAACACTACTTTAAATGTTTACCTTAAATAAGTACACAGTTGGTTTTCAAATAAGAACCCCCTCCCATTTTAAACAAAGATTCGGATAAACTATATTTGTTTTTATTTTTCGATTATGAGTTATAACAGTTAAAACTGATAAGACCGGATGTGTAAACAAAAGTTTATCAATTTATAAAAAAAAAAAAAAAAAACAGAAATCGTATTCACTTAAAATCTTCCGAGAAAATCGTTGGTTCGTGAAAAATGGATCACTCTGTATTATGATGCGTTTTATGAATTTTGACCGTTTCGATTCAGTAGGTATGCCATTTTATATAGGTCTGATACAAGTACAAGGCCACGCACGCATTCACATAAAACTTTCATGTACTGCACGTGCCGTTATGACGAAATCGATGTATCTACTCACTAGATGGCGTGGGGTGTCATTGTATTGAACATAATATTACTACTAATATAATATTCTCAAAATTTCGATCGTGGTATAATTATCACAATGTTATAAATATTATAATTCTTTTTCTATGTAAATATTTATAATATGGATAGACCCTTTTTTTATATATACTATATTATTTTGTATAAACGTACGTTTTATACATCTTGCCGTCTTCGGAATATTTTTAAGTTCAGTCAATTACTTAAACGTTAAAGGGTATTTTTAACGATCCTTTTAGGGAATTTAAGTGTGTTTACCTAGAATTAATAATACATAATATTCTGTATATCGACCTACTCATTCGACTAAACGAAACGTAATGGTTTTATATTATTCATGCGTGTGTCAAAAAATCAATATTTTTGTTATAATATTACAATAATATGTCACGCTTTTATTTGTATTATCAACTGCTTTTCTAGGACGACAAAAAAAAAAACACAAATAATCAGTATTAATACAAATTGACGGGGAGGCACATGCTTCCAGTATTCTTTAGCTGTAGCACTGATCCAACGGTTTTCTCTATAGATTTTAACTTTACACTTTTCAGTAAATTAAATTTCTATTTTTCTTTTTTCAATCATTAAGGAAATGTTTGACATTAATTTTAACACTATTTTCGTATAATGTTATCCCTACTACCCTCATTATTGTGTATTAAATTAGTACTAACTTTTAATTTTCAAATAGAGACTCTTCCCATGTTTAAAAAACAAAAAATAAATATAAATAATAGTTTTTTAAAAATTTTGTTATATTCATAATATTATTATTGGATTTACCGTTTGTGAGTTATAGCTAAAAAGTTTTACACTATTAGAAAAATAGTAGAGTAAAAACGAATATGTATTATGCTAAAACTAAGCTAATTAGTAAAAAAAAGTAATTTAATTTTGAATATAAATGCATATTTAGAGGTTTTTATTTTTGTTTTTAATCATATTCTTCTATTTTGTAATCGTTGAAATATATTTCACTTAATTAATAATTATAGTATCCTCCCCCAAATGACGTTTATTTTTTTTATTCAATAATATAACCAAAATTATTTTTAATTTTTATCATATAATATGATTGTTGACTTTTTGCGGACGCAAGTTTTCCCTATACTCCGTAACCCGAAATCGATAAGCCGATATAATTACATTTTAATGCTTTGTGTTTATAAACGGTTGACTACGCGTTCTGTTTGTAATTTATTTTATTATCAAAGTTATTTATTTTGAGGGACATTCGAAATCCCGACAGTCGAAATTCGAATAGTTATAATGCCAATACCAAAATCCCAACCAGGCCAAAATCCTGACAGTTAAAATCCTGACAAGGTAAACATTTTGATAATTAGTAAATCGACATGAAAATTCCGACAAAGATAAAACACCGATAGATAATGTCACACAACATTTCTTAGGCATGATTATCAGCATCCCCTGAAATTCTATAGGTGATCTCTTAATTATGCCCTTTAAAACTATATCCGTAATAAACTTGTAAAAACATTATAATAAAAGTACATATTTTACGACTAAAATAATATACAGATATTATGGGCTAAGTCGCATAAAAAATCCGAGCTGCTCCGATTTAAATGGTCAATATAATGGTCATTATTATTTAATAATGATTGATCATTTTTTACTTGAATAACGTAAGAATTTAGATTTGGACCCTAGCAAGGTTTTGGTTTGGTTTGGTTTATTAGTTTTACTATGATGGGTGTTTTTTTTTTTTCTTATGTTTGTAAAGTATCAAAGGTAGGTCACTTTTTGAATTTTCAAAAAATATCCATAATATTTGGGAAAAACCAGGGAAAATAATATAGGTAAATAAGCAAATATTTACGGTGCGCCGCAGCGTTACAGATTTCATTGATTTTAATTTTTGCAAACTATGTTTTCTACCAGAAATTGATTATCCAAGTAATTTCCATAGTAGTTGAGGAAATCGGAAAAGTCGAAAGATTTAAAACTAACGAATTTAGGGCGTAAAATTTCATTATTTTCAACTTTTGTCAGCTTATGTGTTTTCTGTAAAAATATTACTCCAGTAGAAAAACAACTAGAAGTCTTTTTCGTTGCATTTTTGATATAGTTTGTATGTAAGAAAGTCATTTATTTTTGTTCATTTTTTAATAGTTAAACATAACCAAATAAAAAAAAAAAACTTAGAAATAATGGGAAAATGTACAAACATAATTCTTTTATTGTTTAAAATTTGATAGGTAGTTTATTATGAGTCGTACTTAAAGGATAAAAAAAAAATTCAGTTTGATGTAGAATTTTTTTTTTGTATAAGTTTTAAAATCATATTTGACGGAAATCGTAAATATTACAGCTTTTTTAAACAGAACTTAACGGAACTTTATTTTTTGATTTTTATTTAGCAATGGTTTATCGCAACATACAGGCATAAATTAAATAACATTATGTATTATGTATCTTCACAATTCAAAACATGAAAAATCTGAGCAAGTTTTCTGGTAGGCATTTTGTACAGAGTTAATAATAATAATTAAAACAAAATTTTATTGTAAAATCAATACATTTCTTGCTTCAATGAAAACGGTAACGTCGCGCCTTGAAGTTCCGTGAATATTTACCGTTTCACCTATAATTTGCTGAGGGTTTTCACCTTAGACAATTAAAAAATGACTTTCTTAATGCACCAAATAGAGAAAAATGACTACACTTGATTTTTCAGAGCATGAATTTTGGTAAGAAAACTGTTCGCAGGAAAAAATACACATTAAAACCAAAAGATCCCTCGTAACAATCCGAAACTAAAAAACTGGCTTTATTGAATACGATTTGCCTTTTTTGTATCCGACTTTTAAATTTTCACTGTCTAGTTTCATTTTTTTTTTCAGAAGATTCTTAGATAATCATTTACTCAATGAAGTAAAATTAATACTCCAGGTTACGCCATTGAACGTCATATTAATATTCCCATAGTAATTAATTATTATAAGACAATCTATGTATATTGATATAAACCATTATTTATAAAAAAAAAACGATTCCGAGCGGAGTTCAGTCGATAGAATATATCAAATAAACTTCACATGTAATACAATAAATATTAAAACCTATATTTAATACATTCTATTTCAAAACTCTACAAATAATTATAATACAAAATTGAATTTTCTTTTTTTAGCCAATTTATCAATTACTTCTTCAACAGTGATTGAAGTGACCGCGGCCGGTCAGTCAAATTGTATTCCTGACTCTTGATTTAATTATATTTTATGTATTACTATATATGAAATTAATATATGATTAGTCATTAGTCATTAGTAAATTAATTTTAATCCTTGTCATTTTTTTTTTTTTACATCTTCATGTAATGCCCTTAAAAAAAACACTATTTACACAGTTTTGAAGGTTTTTTTTGGTGGAGTTTTGTATTTTTAATCATCACTGTCCAGAATATTCCATCAAACAAAACTGTATATACATTAACCATGACATTGAAAAGGGAGGAAGAATCAAAAATGAATTTCCGGTGAACGATGTTGGAAGTTTTTTGGATTTGCGTTCAAAAGTCCTATAAAATAATGTTGCAAATTCATTTTATCGTTTTTTGAAACCTGCGAGTATTGATTTTAGCCTAGCCATTTATTATAAT